AATCTATAGCCACTAGGCGTTCCGATCCAGTTCCAACAATGCACTTTTCATATTGAAAAATCTGAACTGCTTGACTTGACGTCGCAGATTAAAACTCGTCATTGCCCGATTATATGTGAAAACACACTAGATATATCAGGGTGCTTAGTTAATTTGTGGTTTCTTGTTTTAATATTACAAATGCATTGATTTCTCGACTTTCGAGCAGATAATCTCACGTGTGAATGTCAAACCTGATTCAAGGACCTCGCAGTTGGGAGTCGGGCATCAACCGTCTGCATTATGATCCTTTCAGTAACCCAGTTTACATCGGCATACTGCTTTCTTCAGAAACAGAGGAAAAATAATGAAAAAGACTTGAAAACTTTGAGTTTTAACGAAAAATACACAATAAAGGGTAAAGTGAATAGTATCATAATTGATTTTTTAGTGTAAAAATATGGTTTTCCGTTAAAATGAATATTACCGATAGCTTTTCGTTAAAATTCCCTAAAAACAGACCTTTTTTATTTGGTTTTGGTATTTTATTGCAGATGGTCCTGAAATCGACTTAAACTCTTCATTTTAGTCCCTCATTTTGAAGATCGACCAATGTCGTTCCTCAACTTTAAACACATCAATGTCGCCCTTTCATTTGAACTCTGTCAACAATTCCAATTATGTCTGGTGTGCTGGGATAACCAAATCCAAATTTGATATACAAAATTGAGAACAAACTAGAAATTGAGCCCGCGTGATGCCGAGGGTTTTAAAATTGTGTTAAATGTGTGAAATATATTAAAACATATTCTCATCCATATCAAAATTCATATACATCCTAATGTTCAACACAGAACCAAAACAGTTTACAAACATGGTACTTGGCCCTCAATATGCAGAGAGCCCATTCCCCATTTTCATTTTGCAAAAACAATTCATCAGGGAATTTATTCATTTTTCTATACCGAAATTAAAGCTTTCTTAAAAAGCATTAATTTCATGAAAAGCATTCTTACATGATGATTATAGAGATATCTGCACATCATAACAGCATTCAGACCTCCAGTAATTGAAAGTGCAATGATCTATTGCAATTGGTAAGTAATACTTAGTCACTCAACAATTACGAAATGGACCAAATAATAAAGAAAAAACCAATCTTGGTTAATTCATTTAACTAAGAAGAAAGGCTGTGAAGTTCCGAAATGAATATCAAGCCATCTTTTGAAATGTCAAAACTTACCTGGAAACGCCGGATTAGATGGGTCTCAACCAAGTACGAAGCGAATCCAAAATGGGCACAAAATTTCTGAAATAAAAAACAAAAGCACATGAGATACTAACAAAAGCCATAAAAAAAAAGGGAAATCAAAACCTTGTGCGGCAACAAACATGCAGAACTTACTTTGAAAACCCAGATCAAAGCAACCAAAAACCCAAAAAAATTATCGGAATCAAACCAAAAAACCAGATAAATTAACAACCCTGACCACTAATCGAAGAACAACATATGCGAGCCATGATCAACCATTACACATATTTTGACAACAATGTAGGAAGTCAATGTATCACAAAGTGAAAGCAATCTCACATTTGCCACACTTCTTATTAGTAGAGCTAAACTACAAAAGCAGTCAGCAAGTTATGCCATGAACAACCGAGGATCAAATACATCTACTCTACAATATAAACAAAAATTTGGAGGGACAGTTTGTATGCTTTCCTGTTTTTCTCTGCGGTAATTTTTCATGTGTGGCTTTGTGCATTCACACATGCACATTTACCCACATTTCTTTGCTGTTTTTTTTTGTTACTATTTGTCTTTCCTGAATTTATTAAGCAAACGGTGTGGGAACGAAGAGCGAACCTGATTCCAACAGATACAAAGCAGTGGCAACAACCTCCATTAATAACCCCTATTAAGTCAATGAGTAGCCAACCTCTATTTGTGCAGTTATATCTGGAACATCCTAGTTTATCTGAACCAAATCCTTGAAAGGGGAACCAGTTGCATGTACGCTTAGCTGGTATTGGCTTTACCTAATTTACTTTTTAAGTCCAATGTGATAGAAAATCCATGTTTGTCTTGATTTTACATAAAAAATATGATGCATGTCCCCTGAACATACTGCTCAAGAAGCAAATTTTGCTTGCTTGCAGCATTTAATATATAAACCACAATAAACAATTTACTGATCATAAAAGATAACTACGGAATGAAAAAATATAAAAATTTCAATTTCAAATTGTCTGCTGATCTTAAAAACAGAATCCATGCAACTGAACCTAACTAATACACAACTCGGCTGAGCCCAAGATTTCAATTTACTGGACATAAAAGCAAAAGGTCACAGAATTTTATTAGGATTTATTTTCCTACGTTTTCTAGGCCCAGATTACCAATGAACGCCTATTTTTCAACGAAATAGGGAATTTTCCCACGAAACTGAAAGCTAGGAACTTAGAACAATGAAATCAAACTTCAATTAAACCAATTTACAACGGGATGAGATGGAAAATTAGCTAATTAATTAATTAACGATTTAATCAAGAACAAACCCAGATATCTACAACCCAAATTAAACACAAAATCAAGGTCCTTTCAGAAACATAAGCTTAAGAAGACGAAATCTGAAACCTTTCAAAAGCGCAGAAATAGAGAGAAAAAAATATTGGGGGAAAAGTTGGGAAATTTACCAAAGGGGTTTAGGTGGAGGCACCGAGAGGAGACGATCGGCAAGGCAGATTGAAGCTCGAAAAGGCCGAGCTTGGACTCTGCGGCAGTGGCGAGATCTAGGGTTTTTCCACAGAGAGAAGGAAACCTAGATTGGGAAAATAGGGAGAGAAATAGACCTTGATTCAAAGAAAAATGGTGAAGCCCTAAATCGAGCTGCTTGGTGCAGAGAAGAGTGAGGCGAGGAGGGAGAGGGGGAGAGTAGGAGTCAAGCAGCAGAGAAAAAGTGGGTCTACAATCTGAAATGGTGGGGAAGCATCTACAGAAGACGTGAGCTAAAACGGTGTGGGAACGAAGGGCGAACCTGAAATAACAAAAAAGAAGCAAGGGTGAAAATGGAATGACACTGTTAATGAACAGTGTTTTTGTGTTGGGTTTTAGTATATGTGTAATATGAGAATATATTGTTTATTCAAATAAATATCTGGGTAATATACATAACTTAAATCTACACAACAAGAACGACACCAAATACAAAACTTTCTAATTTGCAGTAAATCAAAATCTCCGGGCTCCCCAATGTGCCATTTTATCCACAGGGGGTGAGCTTCTTGTTGCCAGCACCCCGAGGATTATCATCTTTCCAGTCATCCCATGCCCTCGCCCTGTCTTGAGCGGCATCGTCATCTTCATCTTCCCCCTCCGGCGGTGGTCCTGGTTTCATAGGTTCCTTGTACCATGCAGAATTGGCTTCTTCCATGAGTTTCACATTCCTCTCTTGCCACGTATTCATTATCTCCATCTCCTTCAGTCCAGCTTCCTCTATGCTCATGGTCGGCATCCTTCCCGCACAGTAAATTCAATTTAGCAGCTCAAATGATATGTTTAACACGATGAAAGATGAAGACACATACGCGAAAACCAGATATTTCCAAACGTTTGTCCTCATGATAAATTAGACTTGGCAAAATAAAAGTAACAGAACACGGAGACATACCTATGACTGGGCTGGAAAACCTGAGCCGCCATCCTTTCCCTCTCACTTGTTGGGTTTCCACCAATAAGACTCGCTGGTCCAAATATTAGTGGCTGGTGCTTGTGTTCATGCATCTCTGAAACCCTGGCTCTCCCTTCTAGAACATCCTGAGCAAAAGTTGCACAGGTGATAGGCTCTGCTGGTTTACTATATTGCACCCGGGTTGCAGCATCACGATGCCAAGCTTCGGCCCTTTTGGCACGATCATCAAGAACTTCTTGATAAAATTCCTTCCCGCCATCCTGAAATACATGACAATAACAAAAGCTTTTATAACAGAAATAGGTCAAGTTGCAGGACACAGCTCTTTCTATATGCTCTACAAATTTCTGTCTCCCCCCCCTAATTATCACCAAAAATTGCAAATTCATGACAGAGTAATGGAACTCAAGACCAACACTGATAATAATAATACAGTAAAAGTCACCAATCTTAAGTTACGGTTACGGGGGTTAATATTATATACCTTTGATTGCCTTTGCTTAAAAGCTACAAGCATTTCTTCCTCTTTCTTTAGCATCTCCAACAGATCAAAAGCCTGAAAAATATTGCATGGCAGAAAGACATGAGTATGAATTGACGTGAATAAAAATGACAGCATGTGGAGGATTACTTTAAGCTATAAACTAACCTTACTAACTGCCAAAGAGATTGTAGTAAACCACGCCTGCAAAAACAAGGGTTCTAATTAGACAGTTTTTTCTTTCTACCAATGTAATTAGACTTTAAACTTATGAAAACATTCTGATGTAGAACCAATCAACATGTCAGTAAAGAGAAATATGTAAGAAGAAATCTACAAACCTCCCGCTCCTCCTCTCCGTCATCATCCAGAACATCTTCCTCTCCTGCCTCAATAGGAGTTGACAAGGCAGATGCTTTAGTTGAACGACCTCTTCGCTCTTTCCGCTCCTTAATTTCCAGCAATTTTGATTCTGCAGCTCTTTGCCTTTTAAATCGAGCAATCTGGATACAGAAGCAAGAGCATAAGTAACAAATTACAACACCAAAACTACACTTTAACATGTTCCGTCATGCAACATGTAAAACAGTCTGGCAGCACAACAAAGTGCAATTATTAAAGTCATGAGTATCCATGAAATTTGAGTTAGGATCTTCACGCTTTCTGAAGAAAGACTATAAGAAAACTAAAGTACCTTCAGAGCCCTTCGATCAACATGTGAATTTGGGCCATCTACTGCAGATGCTTCTAACTCCTCTTTCAGAACAAGTTCCATTGCCTCGCAAATTGAAATAAATTCCTACAAAATGCTGCCGTCATAGTTAATTTTAACAGAAACAAAAACCTCAAACCAACCAATGCAACACAATATTCTCATACTAAGACACTGAATAGCAAGACAGCCCAATGTATTATTGCTTGACCGACAAGTAACTAATGAAAATGCATCACCTTTAACTTAGCCTGGGAAGACTTGAGAATCGATATCCTGTCATCCTGCGCAACCTTTTCGGTTAACTCACCGAGATAATACGGCACCTGTGATCAAAACCCCATCAGAAGTTAGCTAATTACATTCAAACCAATCCAAGCTTTCCAAACTATTCCATCAAATGATTGCTAAATCCCGATTTCTCGCAAACATTCAAAGTTTTCGACTTTAAAAATTAAACCCAAAAGAATTACCATAAGATATTTGAGATTGGTGGTGCTGATATCCTCCTTGGTCTCATTGGCTGAGAACAAACCCAGCTTGCTTATCATTTCATCGCACTTCTCCAAGGCCCTGCATCCCTTCCTCACCTCCTCCTAATAGTAATATCCAAATTAATTAAATTAATTACACACAAAAAAAAAAATGAAACTTTCAATAAAATGTGCTAGCCCATGAGCTTATGGTGCGGATTTGTGTACCTGATCGACACCACCCCCGGACTCCGTCGCCGCCACATGGATCTTCCGAGCTTGCTCGAAGAGCGCCGGAAGAGGCATGTCCTCCATGTTAAATTCTCCCATGGAATTTGAAAAGGAGCTTCTGGTGTGGGTTTGAGCTTCTTCAATTGCTAATTTCCGGGAAATGTTAGGGCGGTTGAATCGAGAATTTGAAACCTAGGGTTTTCAGATTTGGGGATAGAACTCTGGAGAGGAGAAAATTAGAAACTTGGGGAAGGAGATGGAGACCTGCTTATAAAGGGCGATATGCGCCTCCAGCGTAACTTAGCGTGGAGCTGAATTGAATGCGGAGCGGTGCACGGGTTGGCCTATCGTGGATCTCTACGCCCAGTCTGCAACCGGGTCAAACAACTCTGATTTCAAACGGCGAATATTGTTGTCGTTTTGGTGGTAGATCAGAATTTAGAAAGAGAAATGCTAAGTAGACTTTCAAAATAGAATTTTTAACTCTCCGTGACCTTATATATATATATATATATATATATTTTTTTTTTGGTACAAGGAGGGCAAAGCCCAGCAAGCAGAACAAAAAAGCTACGCAAGAACAGCCCTAGGAAGGGCCCTGCCAATAGAATCAGAAGCTAGAAAATTAGTAGAAGTGGTAGGAGGAGAAACAAAAACATGAAGGCCGAGGGATAGCCCATAACCCAAGTCAGCCATGTGATCAGCTGAGGCATTATTTTCTCTATAGATATGAGTCACTTCGCATTTCCAATTTTTTTCAATGGCTTTTTTGCAGTCAATAATGAGATTGTAGAGCGGGTGCGAAACCAAAATACGTTTTTGGATCAAAATAACAGCATCCCAAGAATCACATTTAAGGATCACATCCTTGCAACCCTCGTCCCAAGCTATAGAAAGGCCCATGAAAACACCCCAAAGCTCAGCTTCCATGATGGTTCCTCTGCCTAAATTAGCAGCAAATCCCTTAATCCCATCCCCTTCAGAATTGCGAATCAAACCTCTAGCACTTATGTGACTAAATGGGTCTTTACAACCCTCATCTATATTGATTTTATATCTACCAATTGGCGGGCGGATCCAATGGATTGAGATGATTTGTCTAGGAGGCTTACTATAAGAACACTTGTTGGCATCATACCAATCCCTTGCAAATTGAAAAATAAACTTATGGGGTGAGACAGGCGATTGTTGACCATTATTGAAGACAAAATTGTTTCTCCCTTTCCAGCAATACCATAGAGTTGAAGCAAAGATAAGGTTCCAGGGTAAACCATGTATGGTAGAACAGTGTGTCCCAATGTTTATGGCCATCCAACTCTGAAAAACAAGAGCAAAGGAATGGGCAACTTTAGGAGGGATTCTAACACCATTTTAAAAGGAAAGAGAATGCCTACAAGACCTGAAAATCTAATCCATTGATTCCTCAACATTAATTTTCAATATTATAAAATATTATGGAGAGAATATGAGTGGTAGAGAGTTCAATGAGAGTCTCACTTTTAAGAGTCTTCTTTGCATTTAGAATTAATCATATATAAACGAAGAAGGAAAAATGGAAGAAGCTTTCAAAATCTTCAAATTAATGCTAATTGGTTGACAAAAGTTTTTTTTGTTAATAGGTAGTTTAGATATTAGTTAATTTATTTTTTTATATATATAAATTTGATAAAACTAATACTAATACTAATATATAAAAAATAATAATAAACAAAGGCAATTGTCACATGCACATGGATAGTGTTTGAGAAAGAGGTGTGTTATCTACACATCTCTTTTTATTTCATACACATTCTCTTAATTTGTGGCAATCGGATCGATTGAATTAAAGAAAATCAAAGGGCATAAATTAACAAAGGGTGTGTGAGAAGTAAAAAGGGTCACACATCCCTTTGAGAAAAAGCTAAGCATACGACATACAACATTTTGTAAACCACGTCTAAACCGTCGCTCTTATAGAGGTAAGATTTGCCATTTAATACTACGGTTTAGTGATATTCATCTTCATTTGTAAGTGAGAGGTCTTATGTTCAATTCTCATAAAAAAACGAGTTTGAACCACATTATTGTTAGTCAACTGTGAGGTTATTATCTACACTAATGGGAGGGGATGAACTTAGCCTCACAATAAGTTAGCAATAATGTGATTCAAACTCGCATTTGGCGAGAATCAAACCTAAGACATCTTACTTACAAATGAAGAGAAATACTACTACACCGTAATACTAAGTGTCATATAACATCATTTGTTAAAAAGAAAAAGAAATAGCGGTGGGATCTATTTATATTGTGTACCCTACCAATTAGATATGGTTCACAGAACGTGTTCCGGAATGTTTAGCAAGGGATAGAATGTTACAGAA